AAAGAACAGCAAAGAAAGCCAAACCCAGCAGGAGAAGAGAAAGATCAGAGCAGAAATCAATGAAATAGAAACCAAAAGAACAGTATCAACGAAATCAGATCAACAGATCAGTTGATCAACAAATCAACGAAACTAGGAGCTAGTTCTTTGAAAGAATTAATAAGACTGATAAACCCCTGGCCAGACTTATCAAAAAGAAGAGAGAAAGGACTTAAATTAATAAAATCATGAATGAAAGAGGAGAGATCACAACCAACACCAAAGAAATACAAACAATTACAAGAACATTTTATGAGCAACTATATGCCAACAAATTAAGTAATCTGGAAGAAATGGATGCATTCCTAGAAACCTGCAAACTACAAAACTGAACCAGAAAGGAAGAACTAGAAAACCTGAACGGAGCCATAACCAACAAGAAAATTGAAGCAGTCATCAAAAATCTTCCAAGAAACAAGAGCCCAGGGCCAGATGGCTTCCCGGGGGAATTCTACCAAACATTTAAAGAAGAATTAATACCTATTCTTCTGAAACTGTTCCAAAAAATAGAAATGGAAAGTTTCCAGACTCATTTTATGAGGTGAGCATTACCTTGATCCCCAAACCAGACAAAGACCCATCAAAAAGGGAAGTTACAGACCAATATCCCTGATGTACATGGATGCAAAAATTCTCACCAAAATACTAGCCAATAGGATCCAACAGTACATTAAAAGGATTATTCACCACGACCAAGTGGGATTTATTCCAGGGCTGCAAGGTTGGCTCAACATCTGCAAATCAATCAATGTGATATAATACATTAATAAAAGAAAGAACAAGAACGATAGGATCCTTTCAATAGATGCAGAAAAAGCATCTAACAAATTACAGTATCATTTCTTAATCAAAACTCTTCACGGTGCAGGGAAAGAGGAAACATACCTCAATATCATCGAAGCCATCTATGAAAAACCCACTGTGAATATCACTCTCAATGGGGAAAAACTGAGAGCTTTTCCCCTAAGGTCAGGAACATGGCAGGAATATTTACTATCACCACTGCTATTCAACATAGTACTAGAAGTCCTAGCTTCGGCAATCAGACAACAAAAAGGAATGAAGGCATCCAAATGGGCAAAGAAGAAGTCAAACTCTCACTCTTTGCAGATGATACGATACTGTGGAAAACCCAAAAGACTCCACTCCAAATCTGCTAGAACTCATACAGGAATTCAGTAAAGTGGCAGGATTTAAAATCAATGTAGGAAATCAGTTGCATTTCTTTACACAACAAGACAGAAGAAAGAGTAATTAAGGAGTCGATCCCATTTACAATGGCACCCAAAACTGTAAGATAACTAGGAATAAACCTAACCACAGAGGCAAAGAATCTGTATTCAGAAAACTATAGAATATTCATGAAAGAAATTGAGGAAGACACAAAGAAATGAAAAACCATTCCATGCTCATGGATTGGAAGAATAAATGTTGTTAAAATGTCTAATGTACCTAGAGCAATGTATACATTTAATGCAATCCCTATCAAAATACCATCAATTTTTTCCCACAGAAATGGAACAAATAATCCTAAAATATGTAGGGAACCAAAAACGACCCCAAATAGCCAGACGCATGTTGATTTTAAAAAAAAAAAAAAAAGCAAAGCTGGGAGCATCACAATTCTGGACTAAAAGCTCTATTACAAAACTGTAATCATCTAAAGACAGTATGGCACTGGCACAAAAACAGACACACAGATCAATGGAACAGACTAGAGAGCCTAGAAATGGACCCTCAACTAATCTTCAACAAAGCAGGAAAGAGTGTCCAATGGAAAAAAGACAGTCTCTTCAACAAATGGTGTTGGAAAAATTGGACAGCCACATGCACAAGAATGAAACTGGACCACTTCCTGGCGCCACACACAAAAATAGACTCAAATTGGATGCAAGACCTAAATGTGAGAAAGGAAGCCATCAAAATCCTTGAGCAGAACACAGGCAGAAACCTCTGACCTCAGCCTCAGCAACTTCTTCTTAGAAACATCACCAAAGGCAAGGGAAGCAAGGGCAAAAATGAACTATTAGGACTTCGTCAAGATCAGAACCTTATGCACAGCAAAGGAAACCGTCAACAAAACCAAAAGACAACTGACAGAATAGAAGAAGATATTTGCAAATGACATATCTAGATAAAGGGCTAGTATCCAAAATCTATAAAGAACCTTTCACTCAACACAAAGAACAAATAATCCAATCAAGAAATGGGCAGAGGACATGAACAGACATTTCTTCAAAGAAGACATCCAGATGGCCAACAGACACATGAAGAAATGTTCAATGTCACTTGGCATCAGGGAAACACAAGTCAAAACCACAGTGAGATACCACCTCACACCAGTCAGAATGGCTAAAAATAACAAGTCAGGAAACGACAGATGTTGGCGAGGATACAGGGATAGGGGAACCCTCCTACACTGTTGGTGGGAATGCAGGCTGGTGCAGCCACTCTGGAAAACAGCATGGAAGTTCCTCAAAAAGTTGAGATAGTGGTGCCTGGGTGGCTCAGTGGGTTAAGCCTCTGCCTTGTGCTTGGGTCATGATCTCAGGGTCCTGGAATCGAGCCCCGAGTCAGGCTCTCTGCTCGGCAGGGAGCCTGCTTCCCCCTCTCTCTCTGCCTCCTTGTGATCTCTCTCTCTCTGTCAAATAAATAAATAAAATCTTAAAAAAAAAAAAGTTGAAAATAGAGCTACCCCATGACCTAGCAATCACACTACTGGGTATTTACCCCAAGGATACAAACGTAGTGATCCGAAGGGGCACGTGCACCGAATGTTCATAGCAGCAATGTCCACAATAGCCAAACTATGGAAAGAGCCTAGATGTCCATCAACAGATGAATGGATAGAGAAGATGTGATCCATATACACAATGGAATATTATGCAGCCATTGAGAGAAATGGAATCTTGCCATTTGCAACGACGTGGATGGAACTAGAGGGTATCATGCTGAACGAAATAAGTCAATCAGAGAAAGACAATTGTCATATGATCTCCCTGATACGTGGAATTTAAGCAACAAGGCAGAGGATCACAGGGGAAAATGGAACAAGACGAAACCAGAGAGGGAGATAGACCATAAGAGACTCTTAATCTCAGGAAACAAACTGAGGGTTGCTGGAGTGGAGGCAGGTGGGGGGATGGGGTGGCTGGGTGATGGACACTGAGGAGGGTATGTGCTAGGGTGAGTGCTGTGAAGTGTGTAAGCCTGATGATTCACAGACCCGTACCCTGAAACAAATAATATACTCTATGTTAATAAATTTAAAAATCTAAAAAATTAAATAAAATTGAAAAAAATGTTAGGAAGATGTTAAAACAGGAATGATATTATAAAATGCCAAATAACCTCTAAAGGCAGGTGTCTGTGGTTTGAGTAAATAATTGAAATATTAAATGTCAGACTATGAAAGGGGATCAGCTTGGAACTTTCCTTAGAAAGAAGTTAGTGTTTGGGAGAGCATAAATGTTTCTTTTTCATTTCTTAAGTAGGCTCCACACCCAATGTGAGGCTTGAACTCGTGACTCTGAGATCAAGACTTGCATACTCTACCAGCTGAGCCAGCCAGGCACCCCTAATGTTTTTATTTTAGTTATTAACTAATAGAAGCTTTCTCCCACCCCCTTTTTAAAAGATTTTCTGTATTTATTTTGAGAAAGAGTGTGAGCAGGGGGAGGGGCTGGGGGAGAGGGAGAGAGAGAATCTCAAGCAGACCCCCCTCTGAGAGCGGAGCCCATCTTGGGGCTCGATCCTGTGTCCTTGAGATCACACCCTAAGCTGGACTCAAGAGTCAGACGCTCAACCGACTGAGCCCCCCCAGGTGCCTAGAAGCTTTCTTTTCTACGTACTTAAAAATCCTGGATTTTGAATTGTGGTCTATGTTATTAATGAGGACTCAGATCGGTTTGGTTTACTTCAAATATCCACTTTAATTTCTGCTGAGATCATGACAGGAGCCGAGATGCTTTGAGACTGTTCACATACTCCAACGGAGCTACTATGATTTTAAACCACCAAGAATACTGAATCTAAATGATGCCATTTTAAAACTTTGGGTTAAAAAAAGAAAGACATGGGGACGCCTAGGGGGTTCAGTCACTGAAGTGTCTGCCTTCAGCTCGGGTCATGGTCTCGAGGTCCCGGGATTGAGCCCTGCATCGTTCTTCCCGCTGACTGGGGAGTCTGCTTCTCTCTCTGCCTGCTGCTCCCCCTGCTCGTGCTCTCTCTATCTCTCAAATAAATAAAATCTTTTTAAAAAAATAAAATAATAAAATGAAAGACATGCACCCCTTTTGGGAGTATAACATGACGCTCCCTTTCTTAGATGCGTTTGACTAAATGTACTTCTGACCCCAAGGAAATGTGCACAGAATTCATGGTAACAGCGCTCCCCACGGCATTATTTATAACAGCGGGAGAGTGGGGAGCAGCCTCAGTGTCCGAGGGGTATTATAGGAAAGTTCAGATTATTACATACAATAGAATAGTAGTCAGACATTTAAAAAAAAAGGTATGAAAAGTGTATGAAATTCTCACAAAATGTTTATGATATGAAAAGAACAGGATATGAGATTATAAACAACATGATCAAGCATATATAAAATAGTATATGCACAGAGAAGTGCTCACAGTGGTTAATTCTAAATTGTAGAATTCTGGGTAATTTTGACTTTTATATGAAGAATAAGTTTTATTTCATATTCAGGTATAAGGTTATTTTATACAATGAGAGCCTATTATCAACCCTTTTTAATTTTTTTTAAAAGATTTTGTTTATTTATTTGACAGAGATCACAAGTAGGCAGAGCGGCAGGCAGAGAGAGAGGAGGAAGCAGGCTCCCCGCAGAGCAGAGAGCCCGATGCGGGGCTCCATCCCAAGACCCTGGGATCATGACCTGAGCTGAAGGCAGAGGCTTTAACCCACTGAGCCACCCAGGCACCCCGTTATGATGCTTTTTAAAAAGATCTATGTAGAACTTAATTCAGGAAAAAAATATTGACCTAATGTAGCTTATGCTTTTTTTCCATGATTTATAAATACAAGGTATGTATTGAAAAAATTTTACAACCATCTTTGTTAATCATTTTCTGAATTATGTTATTCCTGGATTGTTTATTCTTTTAATCTTTCTTTTTATTAGAATGAATTTTTAAATTAAGTAGTAAAAGTCAGAACTCATGCAAATTATTATTTTAAAAGTACAGTTTTGACTTTATCACATTTTCAAGTGACTGGTCTACCATCCTCAGGTCTGTAAGAAAAAAAAATTGAAAGAGGTAATGGTTGATTTATATACCAATCAATGTACAGTTAAGTAAACAGGAAGCCAAAGCTTTCAAGAAAAATGCCTTAATTTCCTATAATTATTAAAGGATTTGTAGATAAGAAAAATTCAGTATATAGAAGAACGAACATGTTAAATGCTTTTCCTTTTCCGCTGATGGAGTCAGTGGGGTTCACGACGGAAGGTGAGGAAACAGTGTGTACTCTTGAAACAACACAACACTGCTTCTCATCAGTGTCCCACCGCCGTGACCGACTCCCCAGGCAGCCCGGACAGAAACCCCGTGAGGTACACTGTGTCTCTGCATGGAATTAACTGCAGGAAGGGGGCCACGGTGTCGTGCAACGGGGACACTGACAAACTGAGAACGTCTCCGACATTTTGGGTTCACTGACTCTGCCTCCTCCCATCACCCTCCCCAGGAGAGCAACACGGGTTCAGAGGTGTGCAGAGTCCCCCCAAGTGTCCGGCACAAGCCCTCTGTGAGCCCTGACCTAGTGCAACCAGCAGACCCAGATTTATCCAAACATCTCTGTTTAGGTCTTTCTGTTCGTCTCAGCAACAGGACCCCTTTGAAACAAACTTGGGCATCTGACCTCTCAGGCCGCAGGAGCCTCCAACAGGGAGGCTTCCACGTCTACTCAGTCATTTAACTTGATGCCTAATAGTTCGTGGTTTTGACTAAATTTAAAACAGCAGCTGGATCTGGGGGACGAAGGGAAGGACCTGGGTTCCTGGGCTGCCATCCCCAGCCTGCAGCGGGCAGTGTCCTCACTCCCTGTCTTACTACCAACTCAGCCCAGCGGGAGGAGGGCTTGGCTGGGAGGCTGGGGGGCAGATGTGCCCTGAGTGCACCCTGCACACCTAGCGCCCCCTGCAGTGTTTTGCACCCCTGGGCAGCAGGGCACGGTGTCGGGTTACCGTTTTCCCCAGAAGAGGAGACACGGGTATTTCTAAGTCACTGGGAGCTGAACCGGCCCTGAGTCAGCAGGTCAAGTACGGATCATTTGCCAGCCGACTGAAGATAACAATTGTTAAAGAAAATGGGAAAACAGAGGCACCTTAACTATTCAGTCAAAATTGGCTCGATTAATCAGAATATTTTGGAAACAAAATATGGGTCAGTATCTTCATAAAATAAGGCTGTGTCTGTCCCCACGTCACATGGGCATAAATCTAGTCTGAGCCCTGAGGTCAAGCACAAGTTTGCATCTGCAGGTTAAGTGCAACGTTTCACTGGACAAGAAATGTTTGCATTGTGCCAGCCGGCGTGGGACCCTCAGGAACCACCATGAAACTGAGGGCTTAATGCACATGCATTTTCTTTAAATGGTCATAGAAATATATTGTCCCAACAGAAACTACTAGTTCTACGCCCCAGCCTCTACTCCGTCCTAACTTGTGCTTTGATTGAAGACTAATTTGAGGGGTACTAGGGAAAAGTACTGTAATAAAAGCCAACTGTTAAATAATAGAGCCTGTGATTTAAAAATACACTTTTTAAGGAATTATGATGAGGAGCATTCCAGTTGGTCTATTTAGAAAAGAACACTTGTAAATGTCTTTTATTATTCCTGAAGGTTTTCTGTGTAGGATAAAGGCAGTAATCCCCACAGTGAACAAATATAGGATCGTATTTTTGAAGATGAAAGCAATCAAAAGATAATGCAAAAGGCAAACATATTTACTTTCTTAATGATGACCTTACCATTTATTCTTTAACAGAATTTTCGATCCCAGCTTGCACCATTAGGTCACTGACATTCTTCTGTAGATCCTCAATGCGATTTCCCATTTCTTCCAGTACAAGGTCAAGGAGACTTCAAACCACACCTGCTCATCATGGCGACTGAAGAAAACGCCCAAGGCTACTGATGCAACTTTTAAACCGAAGGAATCACCTCTGGGTCAGCGCAAATTAACCATTTCCCTAAGGGTTTCGTAGTGTGTCTTTACCCTTCGAAGTGTGAGCTCGGTTCTGAAAACTTGGCTCCCTTTGTGTGGACACAGACTCAGACACATGAGATGGTCTTGTAGGTTTAACTATGTTTTAACCAAACTCTAATGAGTATGTATATATAATGGAAACTAATTCTCTTTAAAACCAACTTTCCTACAGTTTAATTTTACCATGTTTAAGGATTGTTTTCCCCTATGAGAACCCATCTACAGAATCAGAAGTTGAAGTAAATGGTTCCATATGCAAATACCTTACATATAATTGCTAAGGAATGACCTTAATGTTATAAAATGATCTCTAGCTCCCCAAGTCTTAGGGCAGAAGTTACCATTATTCAGGTTTGCTTGAAGTGGAAACAAACTTTCTATCCTAATTGTTTGAATTCATGTCTTAACAAAGCAGTAAGCTGACATTCCCTATTATGTTTGCAAGTTTCTGATTGGTGGAGTACAGATGTCATTCAGATGTATTTAGGGCTCAGGTGGAAAGCCCCATCTGGGCAGTATTGTGCGTTGTGTCCCTTCTATCATTGTCATACAAAATGCCCTGTTTTGCTGGTCAGGCAGGAAGTAATTACCCGTGAGTGGTAATTGCTACATCAGGATACCAGGGAGAGGCCCGAATGTAAACACCAGGCAATGCTAGGTCAATTATCCATTAGTAGCAGACAAAAAGATGTTCCATGATAATTTTAGAGTTCAAAAGCATCGCAGTATTTGTCATAAGATAGAAAAGGATATTTCTGAGGTTTAATGTTGCAGTCAGAGCTTGAAAATGTTCTTGAAGTTCCTGAAATAGATTTTCTGCCTGAAAAAATGAACCACAAAACTGAATGTAATATATATATGCCTCTTGATGTCTGTAATTAAATTAGATCTATCGCCTTCCTTTTTTAAAGAATATTTACTCTAGATGTAGGACATTTTAGCCTCATGGAATAGAATCATCCTTAGTTAGTTCGTTAGATTTTTGACAAGGTGCCGAGGACTTTCGATTCAAACGGTAAGGGAAACCTTTCCAGATGGTGCTGGGACAAGGAGAGAGCCCAACGCGTAACAAGGCCAAGCAGGCCTGCCCTCACCTCCCACTCCCCACATAAACTAGCTCGAAACGATCATGCACCTGAATGTAGGCGTTACAACTACCGATGGGCAGCAGGGGACGCGGGAGAATGTGACAACTCGCCCCCCCGCCCCCCCCGCGAGTCCCCGAGGAGCGCGGAAGCAGCGGCCGCAGCACCTGCCCGCGGCCTCCCTCGGGCCGCCCTGAGCCGGGGCTGCGGACGGTGTCCACCCGCGGCAGAGGCGCGGGTGCGTTTACTGAGACAAGCCCTAGTCCTGCGGGCTCCGGGGCTTGCAGACCTGCGTGCGCAGTGCGGGGCGCGCGTGACCTCCGCGCGGGGACGGGAAAGCCCGGGCGGGGGCCGTCTGGACTCTGCATCTGCAGGTGGAGACGCTGCGGCGCCTTCCCTGCGGACGGGCTCGCTTTTGTTCTTCCTCGCGTGGTCAGGATCACGCGGACAAGGAGGCGAAGACAAGCCCCCGGGCTGTCAGCCTGGCGTGGCCGCGCGGGCTTTCCCGCGAATAGGGAGCGGGAAGGGGTGCGGCGGGAAAGGCTTGCAGGGAGGGTGCGGGGGGAGCCTGCCCGAGTCCCCTTCCGCCACGCCCACCCAGGACCCGCCCTCAGTCCCGGAGGCGGTGCAGGTGCGGAGGGACGCGGAGGAGCGAAGGGAGGGGACCCCACTCACCGCGTCGCCCAGCGCGTCCCCGCCGGGGGTTTTGGGTCCCCGCGTGTCCATGTCCAGTGGGTCCCAGTGGGCCAGATGGTTCCGGGTGGACCCAGTGGGCCGGGTGGTTCCCCGTGGGCCCGGCGGCCCCCGGGCGTCAGCTGCGCTACACCCCGACAGGTCCCCGCGGCGGCGCAGGGCTGCTTGGGGGGCCGGTCGCCGAGATGCTCAGGCTGCGGGGGGGCGGGCTTGGGGGGCCCTGGAGGAGCCCCGATGTAGGAGGCAGCGCAGAAGCTCGGGTCCCCAGAAGTGAGTTCCAGGGCCGGCGCGGCCGCCTGTGCGGGGACAGGCAAACAAAACCGGGGCGGCACCCGGGAGGCGGCACCCGGGAGGAGGCCCGGCGAGGTGCGGCCTCCTCCAGGCCGGATGGTCAGCTTCCCCGGGGAGGGAGGGGCCGCCTTGTGCAGGGAGGGGCCTGTGCACCTGCTAGGCCGGCGGGGCCAGCCCGGCCTTCTGGAAGACAGGACGCACCTCCCGTGCAAGGGCGGGTCCCCTCGTGCAGGCAGACAGCCGCAGGGGGCCGGCTGTGCCCCCTGGGCACTGCTGACACCCTGGCCTGCTGACCTGGGCGGGGGCCAGGCAGGCCTTGCTCACCCTGCCAAGGACTGTTTGCTTTGTTTTCATTGCATCAGAGGTGAAAGAGGAAGACAGAGGGAGCGCAGCCTTATTACTATGGTAAAATGCACACAGTATCAACTTTACCATCTTAACCCGTCTGACGGGAGTCCGACTGGGGGTCCGACTGGGGGTCCAACTGAGGGTCCAACTGCGGGTTTGACTGAGGGTCCGACTGGGGGTCTGACTGAGGGTCCAACTGGGGATCCAACTGGTGTCTGGTGCGGCGGCCCTGAGCACATCCAGGTCATATTGTTGTGCCATGGTCCCCACCGCCCGCCTTCAGGGCCCCTTCAACTCCCCAAAGTGGAGCTCTGCCCCCACTGCTGGTGAACTCCATGTCCCCCTCCCGGACCCCTGGCACCCACCATCCTCCCTTCTGCCTTTATGTTTTCTGGTCACCTTTCTGAGGAGCTCGGGGACGTGCTAGGGTAACTGAGCTGCTGACCACACACAGTCCAAGTGTTGCTCCCCCCAGCCCATAACCCCCCACCAGGGGACAGCCATCTCTTTACGTCTTGCCGTTCCTGTGGTCAGCCTTAAAACTGAGACTGTGAGCAAGTCCTGGCACACTGCCAACACTCGCATCCCTGTTCTGATTTGATTGAGGGGCTGGAAAGATCTCATGACCCATTCCCTCCTTCCAGCGCCTGTCAGGCCTGTCTGGATTGTGGCTCATGGGTCACTTCCTGGGTGACCACCCCCCCAGGACTCTGTTTTTAGCCGCTCCCTCAACAATAGGTGAACACCGAGGTTGTTGACTGTGTGTGTGAGACACGGTGTGCAAAGATGCCCAAAGTCATTAATCATCAGGAGAATGCACCTAAAACCACGGTGAGATCCCACTTCACACCCACTGCTAGGCTAGGATTGAAACAATGTCGGGTGTGGGCGGCAGTGGAAAGTTCCAGCCCTTACAGGTTGCTGATGGATGGCAGCCAGTGTGGAGTTAAAGTTACTGTGGAACTTGAACTCCGCCTCTGGATATGTGCACAGGGAAATGGCAGCATACGCGTAACACGGATGTTCACAGCAGCACTGTTAGCAATAGCTAAAAAGTGGAAACGGGCACCTGGCTGGCTCAGGCCGTGAAGCATGGGACTCTTGATCTCAGGGTTGTGAGTTCGAGACCCCAATTCAGTGCGGAGATTTAAGCATAAAATCTGAAAAAAAAAAAAAATGGAAACAGCCCAAATGTCCACCAATACATGACGCACGGACAAGCAGAATGTGGTCGATCGTCCAACGGGCTGTTACTGAGCCATGAGAAGGATGCTGGATGGTAAGCAGGGATGAAGGTTGGGCACGGTATGCTGAGTGACAGGAAGCAGTCACAAAAGGTCATGCACTGTAGGGTTCCAATTCCATGAAATGTCCAGAATCAGTGAATCCGGGGAGAAAGCAGACTGGTGGTTGCTGAGGGCGGGAGAGGACGGGCATGGGAGACACTGCTCGGTAGTTAATGGGTATCTTTGGGGGGGATGATGTAAAATTAGCTTATGGTGGAGGGCGCATAACCCTTGCAGTCAGCTACAGCTCGCCGAATCGTGTACATTAAATGGGTGGGTTTATGGTGTGTGTTCATATCTCAGTAAAGCAGGTATTAAAATACAGCTTTCTAAAAGCATGGCTGTTTTGCTCCTTTTCATGTCTTTCCAAGCATCTTCCCTCTGAGAGGGGCTGAGGAGGAAAGGTGTGCAGTGTGAACACTGGGGTGTGGGAGATGGGGGGGCACTGTCCGGGCTGCTCCAGGGGGAAGAGAGGGCGCGGCAGGGAGGGTCGAGGGCTAAGCCCTGCGTGAGGGCTACACCGCTTCCGGCCTCTAGTTTCTCTTGGAAGAAGGCAGAGGTGGGGAACTGCCTGCAGAAGGAGGGGCCTCGTGCAGCGTGATCTGTGTCCCGTCTCAGCCACTGAGCACCCAGCAAAAACCTGCTAGGCCGGCGGGGCCAGCCCGGCCATCTGGAAGACAGGATGCACCTCCCATGCAAGGGCGGGTTCCCTCGTGCAGGCAGACAGCCGCACAGGGCGGGGCTGTGCGGCGCTGGGCACTGCTGACACCCTGGCCGGCTGACCTGGGGGCGGGGGCAGGCCTCGTGAGCATCCTGGGAGTGTGGATTGGGGGTTGGGGACTCTGGATGCTAATAACCGGTCCTACCTGAGGTTCGTGTTCCTGCGCACCCCACACTGGCTATGCCTTCCTTGCTTTTAATTACTGGCAGTAGACAGAAGGCAGTGAGCTTGGCCTGGCCCACGGGAGCCTGGGATGGAAACACAGACAAGCAGAGGCTCTTGTCTCTGAAGCCACTGGCCTGTCTCTCCCCTGCATGTGCTTCTCTTCCCCAAGGAGCCTGTCTCTGAGTCTGCCCAGCCGGGCCTTCGCTCATCTTTCAGTCTAAGCTTCCAGAACCCACTGACGGAGGCAGTTAGCACCCCTGTGCCCTGAGGCCCCTGGGGAAGCAAAGACAGGGGAGGGGTCCCCTGCCTGACGGTGGCTGGAGGTCTGGGGGGCGGGTGGACCTGATACAGGTGGCCCGGGACCACCCCCCAACAGGAGGTAGAGCCTCAGAAACTCCCATCTGAGTCCAGGGTGTTAGGCCTGGGAACCAGTCTCCTCACTGAGCTGGGAATGGTGAGAAATGGTGTGAGGTCTCCAGGACAGAGAATCCCTAGGGTAGGTGGGAGGGTTCTAGAAGTGTAGCTGGTAGGGGGGACGGGTGGCCAAGAATCGAGGCAGGAGTAACGGGTGGTGGGCGTTCAGAGCACACTCTCGGGTGGCCCTCCAGCCACAGCACCCACAGCCCGTGGTGCCCTTCCTGAGCCCAGGAGTCTGCGTTTCGGCAAACACATCAGTAATTCTTCTGTGCACCCGTGATGTGTGTGGTGTCGGGCCAGGATCTGAGTGGCCTCCACGGCTCCGGGACTTTTGGGGAGATGAACAGGAAGGCTTAGTCTTGAGGGGAGGGTGTCATAAACACTACAAAGTCCCCGCTACTTTCGGGTGTCAGCAGGATGCAACTGAGAGACAAAGCTGTGTCTGTGGACCTAGGAGGATAGGAGAAGCATGATAGAAAGGGGACTAGCCAAACACTTTCTGGAAGAGATACTATAGAATATAGACTAAATATAGAATATTTAATACATAATATAATTAGCAATATAAAATAAATATAATATATAATAAGTAATAATACTTATTATTTCCACTTTTGTTCATTTCCCCGATAACCCACACAAGGCAAATATTGTTACCCATTTCACACATGACCCTAAACTTCACTAAGCTGTTTGAGATCGTAGCACATGGTCAGGAGCAGGGTGTCCGCACTGAGGACACATCAACAGAATGAAAGGGCAACCTAGAGAATGGGAGGAAATATTTGCAAGTCAGGTATCAGATAAGGAATCGATGCCAGAATATTTACACGGTTCCTAAAACTCAGTAAGAAACAAGCCCCCGACAGACATGGGCATGGACTTGAGCAGACATCTCTCCAACAAAGATGTGCATGTGAAAAGATGCTCCACATTCCTGGTCAGAGGGAAATGCAAATCGAAACCCCGGTGAGGTCCATTTCATATTCATTATGATGGCTATTAGCAAAGACAGAAATGGCACATGTCAGGGAGGACGTGGAGAAATTGGAACTCTTGTGTGTTACTGGTGAAAACTTAAAATCGGACAGCAGGTCCTCAAAAGATGAAAACCAGAATCACCATATTAATCAGCAATTGCACCTCTGGGCATCTACCCCCAAAAGTGAAATCAGGGACTTGGAAGAGTATCTGTACACTGTGTTCATAGCAGTGTTATTCTCAACAGCTGGACAAGGAAGCAGCCCATGTGTCCATGGACGGATGAGTGGATACAGAAAATGTGAGACACACCTGGGGAATCTTATGCGGCCCTGAAAAGGAAGGGAACTCTGACACAGGTGCCACATGGGTGAACCCAGAGGGCGTTATGCTCAATGAAAGGAGCAGTCACCACAGGGCTTGGCACCATGGGTGTCCCCTTCTGTGAGGCGCACAGACTGTTCCCATTCTGATGGACAGAAAGCAGAGTGGCGGGTGCCAGGGGCCAGCAAGAGGGAGAAACGGGAGCTGACGCTCACTCCGGACCGCATTTCGGTTTGGGAAGATGAAGTTCTGGAGACAGACGGTGGTGATGGCCGCCCAGCATTGTGACTGTCCTTCCTGTTAATGGAGCGCTTAAAGATGGTGAAAATAGTAACATTTGACATTATATATATTTTACCACGATTGTTCTTTGCAGTACATTTTGCCAGCTTCGGGGGTGCCTGTGTGGTACAGTCGGTTGCGTCAGTGGGGGGTCTGCTTGAGATTCTCCCTCCCTCTGCCCCTTAAATAAATAAATAAGTAAAATATCTATTAAAAATATGTAAGAAAAG